TTAATTAAAGTGCTCCTCTGATGGTTAATTTTCGTGCACACTGCTTGGATATACTACAACAGGTAATCATGTCAGCTGTGTGGACGCTAAAGCGTCTCACAATATTAATTTCTTGTTTTTAATACTGATTGCCGGATTCTTTAGATCTAAAGGCTACTCTTTTCTGTATGCATAAACAACTTCACTAGCCTAAATATTTGTAGTGTGTCTGCCATAATCGCAATAAGCTTAACTTTGTTAAAGAAAGTCTCAGCTTTCAGATTCTGTCAATTTTTGTCATGAAATTCAAACAAGAAATAGGCTAGGCCTACCGTTTTGGCGCACTTACTTTTGACAGATCGCGTTCAAGCGGCAGCACGGATCAAACAGCTTGTGAACCGATCTACAACTAGTTACAGCAATAAATAAACATGAATAAATATCAGAAGGTATGTTGAAAGATACAGTAGGCCTAGCCTTCAACTTACAGAAATGTATCATGTCTCACGAAGTTTCTCAATCTCAACCTCGGAATGACCTCAACAGTTGTCACTTACCGTTACATTAGGAAAAGCTAGCCTATTCAATGTCCATTGCTCGACATAAAGTTAGCTAAAAATATTTCTAGAGAAGAGCGTTTTTCTATTATGCTCTGTACATATTCATTATGTTTTACTTAACCTGTTACTGATGTCTTCATTATTTAATGTAGGCTATGTTTGAATAAATCTATCAGTTAGGCATTGTTTGATGATTTTTTTTTTTATTGGAATAGAAACATTTTAGGCCTAAAAAGATATTAACATTCTATATTTATTCAATATAAAACTGCCTTATGTGCAATTTAAATGTTTGCACTCCTCAGTTTTTTGAGTGTTAGATTATTAAATACATTTTATTGGTCAGTTGATTATAAACGTTATTTTCGTTTTCCATTTCGATTTTTGGCTAAATTAAAATGTTAATTTCAGTTTATTTCAGTTCATCACTAAAATGCATGAAATAATTCAAAAGTATTAGCCTATAATACAATGATAGTGATATATTATACCAATAAAACCATTTTAAAATAATGTTTTTTGTTTGTTTTTTTCCCTTTCAAGCCATGTTCAGTTTCAGTTTGCAGCCAATCCTATTTTCAGTTTCGGCCCAGCAATTCATTTCAAGATGCTAAGTTGGTTCCATATCAGGGAACTCGAGCTGTGTGACAACGCTTTGGGAACGCCCCTGCGTGAGTGCGTCATGAAGCATGTATGAAATCAGTCCAATGGCGAGACGGAACGTCATAGGCGGGTGACGTCATCGACCAGGAAACTATATAAGCACCCCAAAACACAAGCGCGTCAGCTTCTGAGTCTTCAGCAAGCGCTCTGTGTGTGAAATATATCAGTCTGTGTCTCAAAGTGTTTTAGTCTGTCCTTAGTATTGCTAGGCAGGAGTTTTCACGTAAAAAAACTATAAAAAGAGACTATATTATGGCGAGCGAACAGCAGTTCAGAAAGTGTGTTCATCCCTGCCCACGTTCTATTACGGGTGGGGACACTCACGATCTGTGTGTTGTTTGTATGGGAGTGCAGCATGCCCAGTCAGCTCTCGAGGGAGCTGATTGTGAGCATTGCGAGCGTATGTCAATGAAAACGCTCCGCTCCCGCCGAGCCTTCTTCGAGGAGAGTGGTTCGGTGTGCGCTCCCCGCGGTTTGGGTCCCGCTGCTGCCGAGGCACAACGAAGGCTTCAATCGTGGGGTTCGCAAATGGATCTATCAGCGGGGATTGAGACGGGCTCTGCCTTATCTCAGCCCTTACGTGGTAGATCCAGTGCCTCAGATCTGGGTGTGGAAGCACGCGCTGCGGTTTCTTCCCCCGGGCTGAGACACCAACACTTCAACTATCCAGTTCTGAGGAATTGGATGTTGAAAGTGTTGATACAGCAAAGACTGGGGACTCGTCACTCCAGTCTCCTGCTAGTGAGGAGCTCATGGAGGTGTTGACTCGTGCAGTTGAAAAATTAAGCATTGAGTGGCCAGCTGATAGACAGGAGTCTAGATCTAAAAGCAAGTTGGATGAGAGATTTTTGCCATCTCGCGCTGCACCTCCACGCCGGTTAGGGCTGTTGGAACGAATTCCGAAATTCGAATATAATTCGAATATTAAAAACATCAATACTATTCGAATGCTGAAGTTACTATTCGAATATTGTTTTTTTATGTATATATATATTTTTTTTTTATATATATAAACAGGAAAGAGGCCGCACTATGCATAAATTGTTTTATTTGCACAAACGCGTTTCAAGAAGGCACGCGCCGAAACGCGTTTGTGCAAATAAAACAATTTATGCATAGTGCGGCCTCTTTCCTGTTTAACGTTATATATTCTAATCATCAGGCCAGCATTCTTAAAGTTTAAGTTTAATCATTGAGTGAAGCCTGCTCCTATTCCCATTCATTAATTTTTTTTATATGGAATCTTGCCTTTCTTGCCACCTTGACTTACACACATGTGAAAATGAAATGCTTTTGTTTCGTCTGATGAACAATAAAGTTTTTGAATCGTAACACAATTGTGCACGTTATCCACGCTGTATCATCATAACAATACTGTCAAAAATGGTAAATGTTTAACAACTTAAAAAAGCGCCCGTGAAGCGCAAATATCTTGGTGAAAACTCAACGGATTCGGCGAGCACCAAACTCGTTGGAACCGTCTAGTCGAATTGAAAAGAACGATATAAGTTTCAGAATTTTTGGTGGTGTTTTAGCGGAGATATTAGCCGAAAACCAATCGGTAGCGCTTCAACCATATTCAGCACGAATAAAATGTTTATTGTAATGTTAGATATCCCTCTAGTGGACAGAACGTGTAACAACAACCACATGCTATAGTGGCATTGGCGATCCATAAGCCTGAGTAATGTCGTAAATATTAATAATAGGATGAATTTGAGCATTTAGTATTCGAATATTATTCGAATATTAAATAAAATAAGGAATGGAATTCGAATAGTATTAGAGGAAGATTGACAGCCCTAACGCCGGTGTCTGCCGTTCTTTCCTGATCTCCACACCGAGGTGTCGAGATCATGGAAAAGACCGGTTTGGTCCAGAATATTCACACATCAGACATCTATATATTCGAATATTTCTGAGGCTAAGATTTATGGCTATGGGGCGATGCCTAAGGCTGAGGAAGTGTTGGCGAGCCACCTTTCTCCTGACACGGCATCGTCCTTTAAGACACCGGCGTTGCCCACCAAGCCATTAAATACACCTCGGCTTTGGTGGGCAAAGCTTACTCGGCGGCTGGACAGGCAGCATCTTGTTTGCATACTATGTCGATTCTTCAAGCGTATCAAGCAGATTTGTTGAAAGACATTAGTGAGGGGGAGGAAATAAGTGCTGATGTAATAAGAGAGTTACGTCAGGCAGCCGATCTCTCTCTCCGTGCCACCAAGGAGACGGCCAGATCAGTGGGCCGTTCTATGGCAGCCCTGGTGGCCACGGAGAGGCACTTATGGTTAAACCTTTAAAATATGAAAGAGAGAGAGAAATCTTTCCTTCTGGACGCCCCGCTTTCAACTGCTGGCCTCTTCGGTGACTCAGTAAATACAGTCATCAAGAGGTTTCAGGAAGAGAAAAAGCAGGCGGCGGCGCTCCAGAAGTTTCTCCCTCTCCGCGTGCATGTCCCCAGGGCTGCTGGGCGGGAGCAGACCCGGGCGTCGAGTATCTCCTCGCAGAGGGCGCAACAAAAACGGAGCGTCGCGTCTCGTTTGGGGACTGGGACGAGACCTCGAGACCATCTGGAGGACAGTTATTGTTGCCAGGAAGGCCTCGTCAAAGAAGTCCTGACGTCAGGAACGTCAGGATGATAAGGGTGGTCCCCACCGAGAGGGGAAGGTGTTCGCCGCAGTACACGGCACCCGTTCTCTCTCGGTGCCCTCAGGGGCCCGTTCTGCCAACCCCGCCTGCGTGCCGGGGCGTAGACAGTCCCAGCGAGCGCTTTCCCGAGGGACGTTCGGCCGCTCTGAGGAGCGGTTTAGAGCGGTCAGACCAGTTGTTCCCTGCCGGTGCGCCGTTACAGGGCACTGTGTCTGCCGCTCAAAATATTCCAGAGGCCAGTCTCGAGAGACTGGTACCCTTAGTAGAATTTTTGGCAGAGTGGAAAAGCCTTCCAAATGTATCTCAATGGGTCCTGCAGACTATCGAGAAGGGGTACGCGATTCAGTTCAGATCACGCCCGCCTCGCTTTTGAGGGGTTCTGCCCACAGTGGTGGGCCCCGAGCAGGCTCTGGATATGGAACAGGAGGTGAAAACTCTCCTGCTGAAGGGGGCTATATGAGTTCTTCCTCCCAGCAGAGAGTTGGGTTATTACAGCCGATATTTCATCGTTCCAAAGAAGGATGGGGGGGTTGCGTCCAATTTTAGATCTGCGCCTGTTAAATCGCTCAGTAGGGAAGCTACTTGGATAGCTGGAAAAGATCCTGGATAGCTGTAGGGCTGACTTAAGGTGCACTGACGCTTTTCTGATCTTCAATCATATCATACTTTCAGCATATCAGCAAATTCAGACACAGTGTCTCAGACAACAGGATTTATTCATTTTAGGAATGGTTATGACACAAGGTATTACAATAAGGCCATCAATAGAATGTTTAATCTCATCCATTTTGAGTTTATCAAGTCTTGTGCTTAAAAGTTTAATGAACCAAGTCTTTATGATTTGATTGAACAGACTCAACTAACCTTCTGAAATGCAGACTAGCTTTTAAATGAATACATGAAGAAACACTATTAGGTGCATTAGTTATCATTAGTTATGCAAATCAGATGCCTTAGTTATCATTCCAAGTCTTGTCTTGTGTTTCATTTGTGAGCCATGTGTGGATTACGAAATTGTTTGTGAGCTCAATTTGATGGCTGCAGTAAATCAGTACACTATATGCAAACACATTTGTTTTCATTTACTCTGAGTAGCAATCAACAAAGTGAAGAAAAAACACGCTCAAGTGAAACTGAATGACTCACCTTCTTTGGGCACTGCATGTCTCTAGCCAGACAAAGCAGGAGCTCATGAGATATGGGGTCCACCAGGTTAAGGAATGATGCATTCTTATAGAGGATATCATTGAGTGACGTACCCTCTAATCCCAAGTCCTGAAAAAGAAAAGAAAACACAAAGAGAGCACATATTATCAGTCACTCACTCAAGATGCCTTTTCTGACTGTTTCATCATGTACTGTGTGCTTCTGAATTACATACATACATGTTTATATTTGTCCTTATTCAAACTGGTACCCCCTGGAATTTATGCTGAAAACGATTAAAATATTACTACTATAAATTCATATATACTGTATATATACACTGCCATTCAAAAGTTTGGGATCGGTAAGATTTTTTTATGTTTTTAAAAGAAGTCTCTTATGCTCACCAAGACTGCATTTATTTGATCAATAATATTGTGAAATTGTATTACAATAAGTGTTATGGTCAGCCGCAAAAATAACCCTGTCCACACCTTTATAGCGCAAATTTTTCACTGCATGTCTTTAGTAAATCCTGACAGTAGTTTTGTAATGCCAAAAGAGGGTGCTGGTGCAAGCTGTAAGCAAATTTGGCCCTATATCTAATAATTCTGACTTTTTGTCAATTTCGATTTAATGTCATTTAAAGTCATTTAAATGTCATCATTTTATCGTTGTATTTCATAATTATGACTCATAATTATGACTCAAAAAACAATCTCCGATATTTTGAATTTGGACTGCAGTACCTATTTCGACCACTGTCATTCTTACAGACTGCACCTTTAACAGTACATTATTCAATAACATGCTAAAACTATTTTGCAGAGAGTTGTCATGATTGAACTGGAAACTAATATATATATATATATATATAATATATATATATACTTTATATAAAGAAAAGTGTGCCATTCTAAAAACACAACAGTTTTTGTATTGGTAGGGAGTATTAAGTGCGTACATTCATTGGGTTCCTCTTTAGAATCGGCAGGTGGCATTTGCGCTTGGTTTGGGGGGAAAAATCATGTGATTGTTGTATAATGATTTCTGCCCAAAAATTAGACACGTCTTTCAGATGATTAAAATTAAAGGCTACTATTTAATTCTGCAATTAGAACATTTAACTAGCACAAAAAAATCTTAATTTGGATGAAGCATTAAAATAAAATTAATTTAACAAGAATTACGAGATGCTGCGCTGATTTAAGCGCTATAGGAAAACATCTTTGTTTGACTGGTTGTGAACAAGTGTGGCAAACACACCAAGAATTAATATTAAATAACCTCTGATGATGACGTCAGAGGCTATAAATAGATGTGAAACAGGTGCGCTTTCAGGTCACTTTGTCTGAAGAACATCCTGAAAACGCCCTGAGTGTGGCAATGCATTGCAACATCTTGTTCCCGCTTTTTCAGGAAACAGAGTTACAGTCAAGTAACCCAAGACATTCCCATTCAAAAAAGAGTTTCTCCTGCAGAGGCATAGAAAACTGCGGAGGACAGAAGGCTTCAAGAATAACTGGATGCACGGTCGAAAATGGAACTTTGGGAAGATAGTCGGGGTAAGGACAACAGCTAAGTCCCAGATGGGTGGTCTTTGTCGCCTAGCTTCATGAATGAAGCGGGCCATCAGAGGGTGTTTCCCCACTGAAACCCCGTCAATCAGAGCGTGGCAAGCCGAAATAGCGACCACAAATACTCTGAGATTAGCAGGACATATGCTGCTGACATATCTGCCTGCTTTCCTGCAGAAATTCCAGCACTAAAACAATCTGGCAGTGGACTGGGTCTGCATTATGTACATTACACCACCTTTCAAAGACACAACGCTTAATGGCATACATTCTTCTAGTGGAGGGAGTCCTTGAATGGTCTCTATTACATCCGCTGGAAGTCCAGCATCTCTTAGCCGGTCCCACTCAGGGGCCAAAAATTAAGGTTCCAAAGCTTGTGCCAGCATGGAATAGCATCCCATGCGCATGAGAAAGAAGGTCCATTCTGTTCGGTATCTCCCAGGGCGAGGCGTTGAGGAGGGATATTATTTCCGAGAACCAGACTCTGGTCGGCCAACGAGGCACTATCAGCAAGATGCAAGACCCTTGTCGACAGACCTTGGCCAGGACTCCCGGGAGCAGAGCGCTTGGCAGGAAAGCATAGAGACGTTTCCTGGGCTGGAGGAGTCAGTGAGAAGTAAAGGGGACATTGCGTTGTGAAGCAAAGAGGTCCACCTCTGCTTTGTAAAAGCTTTCCCAGATCTGACTGACAGACACAGTGTGTCACTTCCCCGTGTGTCACCTCCCATCTGGACAATAAATCTGCTCCAAAATTCGTGCTTCCAGCAATGTAAATTGCCCTGTGGGATAGGAACTGTCCTGAGCCCAAAGCAGAACCTGCTACGCTAGTTTGTTCAAACGGCGCGAACGCAGTCCGCCCCGGCGATTTACATAAGCGACTACCACTGTGTTGTCCACCTGCACCAGGACATGGTAGCCCCTTGACTGCCAGAGGAAGTATTTCAGGGCCAGAAATACAGCCATAAATTCAAGGCAATTGATGTGCCAGTCAAGATGATAGCCTCTTGATAGATAGCCAGACCCCTTGGGCTGGTGCTTCTCCCGAACTTTGCTAATAAAACATCATATTGTGACACCAATCTTGGGTTGAGTTTGAGACACAATAACTTTGACTGTCAACCTTTTGAACTTGAATGTTCTGAGAGAACGATTCAGACCGGGAAGGTCTAGAATCGAACACAACACCCCATCTTTTTTGGGAACCAGAAAATTGCAGCTGTAATAACCTGACTGTCTGTCTGAAAGGGGAACATGTCCTATGGCCACTCCCATCTCCTATTGTCCAACAGAGTTCACAGTTATTGTATCAGCAAGTGAGCCTATTCCGGCTTCACAGTAGTGGAGACCACGCCGTTAAAATGCGTAGGACGGCACGCAAACGGTATCCTGTAGTCTTTTCCTACGGTTCTCATAACCCTAGGACAGGGGTCGGGAACCTTTTTTGACCAAAGAGCCATTTTTTCATTTTTGGTTAATGCATTTTTCCAAAAGAGCCACAGTAAAATAATTATATAATATTATTATTAAAGACGTGCTTTTTATCAATAATTTCAACAGCATTAGGCTAAAAACAAACAAATATTTAGCAAAGTTACAATATTAATTGTGAAGGGCTTTCACTGTGAGGTTGAGTTATCAACTGATGAGCATAAATCCTCTCTGTCTGCGTGAGAGAGAGAGAGAGAGAGAGAGAGAGAGAGAGAGAGAGAGAGAGAGAGAGAGAGAGAGAGAGAGAGAGAGAACACAGTACTTACATTTACTGTGTTTACGTGAATACTCGACTTGCCATTTTTATATATTTCTGTATTTATTTGGCCGTTTAGGTGCGCGACCGAAGACAAAGGCTATGCTTTTCCGTGTTGCGCGCACACAGCATCCTGCCAGTAATTCCGTTCTCTTTCGCGAATTATCGCGCTTTTAATATTTTTTTTTCAATATAAAGCACATCCTTCTCTTTTTTTCATTCCTTCAATTTTTGTTAGTAATAACTTAAAACAGAATCGTCAACTGCAATCTGCGTGGATTATCAAAAATACGACCCATTTGTCATAAAAGGTCTCAGCGGCAAAAGTGAAAGTATTAAAGTTTATGCTGATTTTCGCCATTATGCCTACCTTAAACAAGCTGCAGCTGCTTGAATCCCAATGCAGGAGCTGTAGGTTATCACAGAGACAAGTTGATTGCTCTGATGACTCGTAACACTCGTGAGCGCGACCAGCACTGAATAGGCTACGCACTTTTGCCGGTACAACATGAATATACTTATTATCATAAACGTTTAACTAACTTCGGTAGACTGTGCTACAAGGGAATTGTAACTGGCAGATTTTTCTGCAGAGAGCCCATCTCTATTGATGTGTCTTTTTTTTTGTTTCGCTCGTCTGTTGGTTAAGGGGTGAGAGACCTCGCGAGCCACATGATTTTTGCCAAAGAGCCAGGTATGGCTCGCGAGCCATAGGTTCCCGACCGCTGCCCTAGGAGATATGTTTGGCAGGAGTTTCCACGCTGCCAACTTCTCTGAAAGGGGCCCTAATTTTGACGCAGTGTCTGGCAACGCAACATCTTGTGACGCAACGTCTTGTGACACAATGTCTTGATGGGGGAATGTTAAATATCCCCTGCCCTGGGTACCGGCAGGAAGCAACTGAATATTTAACATTTCCCTGGAAACCGCTGCCCCCCGAAACACCAGAGGTGGCAGGGATGGAACAACGGTGTGAGGGTGTCGGGAAGGAGCTCGCTTTAGATGCTGAATTTTTACGCGCCCTGTCCAAGAGGGGGGCATACCCCCTCAATCCTGGGTGCAAAAGCCTCAGGACTACTTCTTCATAGCTAAGATCATCGATCTCAGGTCCAGCTTCTTCTTTAATGGTAGAGGCTGGCACGCTGGTCCCAAATCTTTCCGATAGGGAGCACGACTTGCCACGCTCTGTTTCTGAGTTTCTCTCTTTTGAGAAGCTGGACCCGGTTGCGGCTGGGTGGCTGACAGCCCCTACCCTTGAGCATGACGGGGGAGAAACTTAACCCTGTAGAACCTGAAGCTAAAATAGGTCAAATATTTCACATATTAAGTTTTTTGACTGTAAAATTCTTACAGAATGTGCTATCTTCAAGTGCAAGGTGTCTTTTTTTTTAGAAAACAAATGGCTTTCAATAAATTACAGTTGTTGACCATTTATGTTTGTAGTGAGTTTGTAAATAGACTTTAAATGGACAAAAAGTAATACATTTTTCTGATTTGTAAAAAAATCATGAACGAAAGAATCTAACACTTCAACTTCTAACACTAACACTTTTCTCCATTTACTCTCCATTGTTCTCTGTAAGCCATTACAGAGAACAATGTTAAAATTTAATAATTTTTAAACAAATTAGCTATCAGCAGCATATTTGATTTGTAATTTTACTGACTTGAGAGAAAACTCTCCACCATTGTGGCTTCAATGGTCCTAATTTAGAACTTTCTCACCTTTTAAAATCTTTGTATATTTAGTCTGTTTGTAATTTTGTGTTTGACGGCTGTCCCAAAAAGTCAACCAGCCCACCGGGAAA